ATATTTGGCGTTGCAAACCTGTCGAGAAAAAAATTTCAATTTTTTGTTTAAAAAAAGTTAAAAAAAAAATTAAAATAATATTTTTAATAAAAAATATTAAAAATAAAAAAAAATAAAAAATGACTAAATAAAGTCCGAAAATAATTTAAAAATAAAAAGTAAAAAAATAAAATCCGATTTTTTTTTTTTTTTTGATTTGGTAGCAATATTTTAGGAATTTGGAAGCATATTTTTAGGAATTAGATTGTTGTTATGGAAAGAGAGAAAAAAAAAGAATAATTGAGATAAATTATGCAAGGAGCAGTTTTATTAGGGAAAGTATATAATCAAGCCTAATTAGCGGGATTAGGTGCCACATTAATAGGGATTTCCAAAATACTGGCTAATTATAAATAAAAAAAAACGGGATAGGTAGTAGAGGGTAAGATTGGAAATAAATTATAAATACTTTAGGGGGTTTTCACAAAGTAAGAATTATGGTATGGACATATCACTATTTTTTATCTATGGAAGGGGTGTATTGCTAATGACCTCTTTTAAAATTGGAATGAAACATTTATTACACTTTTCTAACTTTTCTCCTTACTACTTTTAATTTAATGAGAAAATTAATGACGAAACAATTAGTAACAAGGAGGTATTTTTAATCACTTTAGTAGGTTTTTATTAGAATTCATGCATATTTAATTTATTGTTCTTAATACGTCTTCAGTAGCCCAAAACGACTAATAGAACGGGGAGGATAAATTATAGTGTCCAAATTATATTCGTCATCACACCTCCACTAGTAGAAAAAAAAGTTTTTTGCTACAAGAATGTAATATAATTGAACCAAGGATATAATTGAAGATGTCTAGTATTACAAGAATATATCATATTTATGAGTAGAACGTACCTTAACCTTCGTCGAATAAGGATGTTGAGTGACCTTCCGTAAGGAACACTTGAATCGAATAACCACTAAAGCGATGAACACAATCTGAAAACGAAGAACGTTTAGAAATTTTGAAGAAACTTTCACTTTTGTGTTTCAAATTGCTTTCCAGTACAACATTTTGATTCTTTTACTACAAGAAAAACGCCGTACTAAATACATTTACTTACTTCAACAAACGTTGTAGCAATAGATCAAGACGACGTCGTTTTGTCCACCTATTTGCTATGCACGTCGTAGTAATAAATCATTTTCTGGGACAATCTTTTTTCTACGATAGTGTTCCTCTAGAAATCAATAACTGTTTGGTACGAATTTTCGTAGTAATACAATAATTTGTAGCAAAAGGACATTTTTCTACTATGCTCATAATTATAATTGGACAACCTTGATATGATTAATAGTTGAATAACTGCGAAAGGTATCCTGTCACTTTTATTGAGTATATAAATTAATAGTTGGTCATTCAACAACTTAGTATATTTATCAGTATAACTAAAAAAACCGGAAAAAAGATAACTTACATAACTTTCACTAAAGTGAACCGTGCAACTGAGTTTAGCGATGAATACTTTGATGATTGGTTAGATGTGAGATCAAGGTTATCCTCTTTCTTGCCCTCCATATATCTGCAATATGTTTGAATGATATTATTATTGTTCAATTAAAAAATGCTTATCACATAATTATATGTCCTTGGGTATTTAATACAACGTTAGTTGGAGTCAAAGATAAAAAAATCTATATTTTTTTTCCTTTTAATATTAAGCAAGTTGACATTTTATTATGGGTAAATTAAGTGAAAATTACTGAACTAAGATCTAATTACTAAAAACTCCCTCAAGTATTTATAATTACCAAACCCCCCAATCTGGTTAACGTTTGACCAAATTTCTTTTCTGAGAAATGTGTAATGGTCTACAATGCCATTAAATTAGATAATTAAAATAGGGTAAATTACGATCACCCCTGAGGTATGGTCAAATTGCGAATAAATTCCTCTTGTTTGGGTAATTACAATCACCCCCTCAACTACGATTTTTCTTACGCATCCACCCTTGCGGTCAAGTTCAAACATAGTCTTCTAGATTCCGTGGAATGTTCTCTAGTTTGTAGTCGTTTTGTGCAAAAATGAAGTTTTTGATGCACCACTATTTACAAGCCAAGAGGCACATCTTATGATCATCCTATTTCAAAATGTGGAGCTCAAATGGGATAAAATGGTACAAACTAGAGAATATTCCACATAATCTAGAAGATTCCACCATTTGACACCACACGGATGAACGCGTAAGAAAATTCATAGTTGAAGGGAGTGATCGTAATTTACCAATTAAAATATTAGGAAATTACCAAAATCCCTGTGTTAAGGTTGAATCATAAAATAAAATCTCAGGATTCGTAATTACTAAAACAACCTAAGCTTCAATCTAACGTCCCTACTACAGGAAATTAAATTTGCAAACTCCGACCTCATATATATTTTTCAACCTAAGTATCATCACTACCCATAGTGATAAAAATATTACATAGATAAATAAATGCTCTAGGCAATATTAGCCTCTTTGGTACCTGGTAATAGTATAACTTTTCTCATCAATCTTTACCGTCGCGGGTAAAGACAGTTTGTCCGATAATAGAGTTACAGGTACGTATTGGATCTCGTGCTCACAAAAACGGCAGTTGTTTCCTTTGTTTTTGGAGCAGTCTTCATGTATTATTGCAAATTTGCATTTGCATTTGGTCATGAGCACGTCCTCCGCCGTGAACTTGTTGAAACAAACCATGCAAATTGCTTCCTCTTTAGGCATCTTTTCATCATTTTCTTTTGTGAAATATCATAAGTTATACCATTTCCGAAGGCCAAAAAAGGGGAAACAGAAAACCGTAAGAACTTGTATGGAAAACCATTGTAATTACGAGTAACCTACCAATAACATTACTTTGTTACGTTGTCCTTGTGCTCTCACAAGAACATGGTCCCCAATCTACAAATGGATATGAATCTTTGTTATCATTACATTAATTTGTTGGTATATATAATTGGATGATGCAAATAATGGTAAGAGATCGTTTATATGCAATTCTATGGTTAACAATATTTAAAGGAAAACATAAGATGATCAAACTGATGCAAACAAACATTAAAGAAGAACTTTAGCTAATTAATTTGCACAAGAACTAATAATCAAAGGAAAGGCTACATCCTTCGTGAAAGGAAGTGCTTGAAATGACTTATATTTCAAAGTGATGATTTACAAGAAGTTTTGTTTCGGAATACAGTATTCTGTAAAACCCCATGTGGGAAGGGTAAATTTGAAATAAAAAAAACAAAAAAAAAAGAAAAGAGGAACGAATCTACCACTAATATGAGAAAAGTGGCTGGATTCAACCCTATAAACAAAAGGCTACGGACGGTTATCACTAATATATTAATTGAATTATATTCAAGGAGGGTTTTACACAATAAAAAGAACATAAATGTGGGTTTTATGATGTTTACGAATAATAACATGAAAAGTTACCTCCAAATATAAAATTGAAAACATACGCTTGAAGGATGACGGTGGACCGGCTCCCCTCTGTTGAAATAGATATTGTGCCAACAATGACCAGACCACCGCATCTACAAGCGATTTCAAGTACAATAGAGACGGTGGCCATCCCGGTACAAGCAGCGGCGACACTCGAGTATTTTCAATTTTCATGTTTTCTTCCGTTGGGAAAACCTAGTAAACATGATTGATAAAGGGAAGAAGAAAAGATACTAAAACAAATTGTTGAGCACAAGAACAATTTACTAGAAAAATAAGATCAAAAATGCTAAAAATCCATGTATTTATTTCTAATTGCTAACAGTATGCATTGCATAAACTTATTGGCGTAAATTCTTTTGGGCGCGACACAGTTTTAACCTCACCGTACTTCAAACTGTGAGTTTGAAGGGGGTGTATGCATTTTGTCCACAACTTTCGATAATACGAGTTATATTTTTTTTTTGCTAATAGAGCTAAAAGATGATTTTTTTTTTGTACAATTCTAAAAACGATCAAGAAAAAAGATAAAATGAAAAAAAAACGCGTACTTTAGTAATTGCAACTGAATTTAAAGATAAATGCTTTGATAACTCGTCATACATGAGATCAAGGCATTAAGGTTTTAATAGTGCAAACTGGAAAAGGTTTTAATATGTATGTATTTGTGTATTTTATACAACGTCCTCAATCGTGATTAGAGAAAGTAAACGATTAGACATATTATTTCTTTAAAGCAAGGTTGGCATTTTTAATGCTTTTTGGGTTTTTTTTCCCTTCAAACTCCCTATTCTAGAAGTCAATGTTAATGGCAAGTCAATTGAGTTTTTTCGGGATAATTACAGTTTTTGTCCCTATATTATATACTTTATTTTTCCAATTTTGGTCCTCCATTTTTTTTCTGCCACGAAATTGGTCCTGAAATAATCGATTTTTTTACACTTTCCATTCGTCGTTTGATTTTGGAGTTAGTTTGGATGGAAAAGCACGTGCGGTGGCACGCGACCATGCTATTTTAACCCCTTTTTTTCATGATTTTAGCCCTTATATTATATATAATCTATACTATCTATAAAAATATGAATGATAAAGGACGATTTCTTCCATTTTATGTGTATAGTAAAATATCCTTTGAATAAGTAAGATTTGCTGGACGATTAGGTAAATTGATTAATAGTACGTAATTACTAATATTAATAGTTTAATACATACACAAATATGATTTTAAATAGATAAAAGTTAAATAGGATGATTAATAGAATTAATGAATATATGCACGCACGTTCATTCTCTAGTCCTCTCTCTCTCTCTCTCCTCTCTCTCTCTCTCATTTCTTTTTTCTTCTTATAAGTGGCCTTTCATATGGAATGGCGACTGCACGAGTAACACAATTGATAATTATGATAAAATAATTAATTTCTCATAAGTTGGTGGCTCTTAAACTACATGAGATGCACCATACGATTTTAAAATCATATGTGCCGAAATCCCAGATAAGGTACCGAAAGATGTAAGATTTGGTTGAGAAGTATATGATTCACGGCCCGTGTGTTCTGGGCAATCAAAACTCTCCATGCATGAAGGACGGGATTTGCACGAAGCGATTTCCAAAGAGTTTTGTCAACCGTACTGAGGCCAATGCAAATGGTTATCCGGTGTACAAAAGAAGAGAAAATGGGAGGACCGTGGTTAATAAGAAAACATATCTCGACAATGGTTTCGTCGTGCGTTATAACCGTGCTCTACTGAAAAATTACAGAGCACACATTAATGTCGAGTTGTGCAACCAGAATAAGTCGATAAAGTATTTATTCAAGTACGTCAACAAAGGACACGATTGGGTCTGGGCGACATTTTATCAATCAAATAATCCAGGTGCAACTCCTGAAAGTCGCGATGAGATAAAGATGTACTACGACTGCAGATATCTTTCGGCATGCGATGCTGTTGGAGGTTATTTAGCTTTGACATTCACTTTAGAGACCCATCGGTGATTAGGTTAAGTTTTCATCTTCCAGACAGTTAGTATGTTGTGTTTACAGATAATGACTCATTAGTTGATGTGCTGAACAGACCGACTGCGAAGCAAACGATCTGGTTCCAAGCGAATAAGTGTTACCATGAAGCTAGAAATTTGAGGTATGGAGAGTTTCCACAGAAATTTGTCTATAAGGAAAATGCTCGCTGTTGGATGCCGAGAAAGATAGGATTCTCGATCGGAAGGGTTACCAATGTACCGCCGGGCAGGGGTGAAGACTATTACTTGAGACTGTTGTTGAACTTTCAAAGAGGTTGCACGTGTTACGATGATCTTAGGAAAGTCGAGGATCACGTCTACCCAACTTTCAAAGATGCGTGCTTTGCGCTTGGACTACTAGATGACGACAAGGAGTACATAGCTGGCATAAAGGAGGCAAATAATATGAGCAGACCGGAACATGTGTGGGAGTGTTGCTGGAAAGAATTCGTCGAGGATATTGCGTACAGACTGCAACAACGTCGTACCAATTCAGGTATGAGAATACATCTTACGTTTTTACACCGTTTACTACACACATTTGAATTAAAACTATATATTTTTATAATCGCCACATTATGTTAATTTTTCATATTATATTATATTGAAGGTCCACATGTGTCAGACGACACTCTAAGAAACTACGCTTTGATCGAAATAGAAAATATATTGCAATGCAACAGCACAAGCCTGAGTAACTTTCCCCCTGCCGATTCCAATTGGGTCGATGACGGATGGCACGGTAAATAGATTAGTTCTCGACGAGTTGGACTATGACGTTGATGCTATGTGTGAAGAGAATAAATACCTTTCATCCATTACTGATGAGCAGAAAAAAGTGTTCGATGATATCATGGATGCTGTTACAAATGACAGAGGTGAACTGTTCTTTCTTTATGGGCATGGAGGAACGGGAAAGACTTTCATATGGAAAACTCTATCGGCTGCTATCCGTTCAAAAGGCGAAATAGTTATAAATGTTGCTTCCAGTGGTATTGCTTCACTTCTACTTCCAGGTGGCAGAACTGCTCATTCCAGATTAGGACTGCCAATAATTGTACATGAGAGCTCCACATGCAGCATCAAACAACAGAGCCCACAGGCAGAATTGTTGTCTAGAGCAAAGCTTATCATATGGGATGAGGCACCGATGATGCACAGGTACTGTTTCGAAGCACTCGACAAAACAATGAAATCTATACTTGATTCAGATATGCCATTCGGAGACAAGGTTGTAGTGCTTGGAGGGGGCTTTCTGCAAATTCTGCCAGTTGTGTTGAAAGCGTCGAGACAAGACACTGTTCATGCTACAATGAATTCATCACCGTTGTGGAGACAATGCAAGGTTATGAAGTTAAACAAGAACATGAGACTTCAGTCCTCCTCCTCTTCCGCCAATGCGGATGAAATAAGAGAATTTACGGACTGGATATTGAGAATCCGCAATGATGATGCTGGCGAGATAAATGACGGTGATGCCACAATTGAAATTCCCGATGACATGCTGATTCGGAATTCTGCAGATCCCTTTTTGGATCTTATAGAGTTTGTGTATCCCGATCTGGTGACCAACCTTTTCACTCCTGAGTATTTCGAAGGCAGAGCAATCCTTGCATCCACTAATGAAAGTGTTGGTTTTGTGAACGATCATTTTTTGTCGATCATAACTGGAGAGGAGAAGGTCTATTTCAGCTCAGGTAGTACGTGCAAGGAGGAGTTGTTGTCGGATGTCAACGCAGAAATATACTCACTGGAGTTTCTCAACACCATATCATGTTCCGAAATTCCACCGCATAAGTTGACATTGAAAAGAGGTGTTCCCGTTATGCTCATCAGAAATATCGATCATGCCAGAGGATTGTGCAATGGAACAAGGCTTCATATTATTAATATGGGAAAACAAGTTCTCAACTGCATGATCCTATCCGGTAAACATGTTGGTGATGTGGTGTTCATTCCTAGAATGACATTGGTACCGTCCAACTCTACATTGCCTATCAATTCCAGCGACGTCAGTTTCCGCTGATGGTATCATTCGCAATGACAATTAATAAAAGTCAAGGACAAACTCTTTCTCACGTGGGCCTGTACTTGCCGAGACCTGTTTTCAGTCACGGACAGCTCTATGTCGCACTCTCGAGGGTTAAGAGTCGAAGTGGCATAAAGATTTTGATTAACTCGGAATCTGGTGATACGACCAACGTTACAAATAATGTTGTATACAAGGAAGTTTTTCAGCGTATATGAAGGTAATTATGTATACAAAAAATTACAATATTGATTGACGGCATTTATTATCTATTATTTTTATGTTTTGTTATTCCTCATTCGTAGGTTTATTTTAATTGTACTAGGAACTTGCTATGGACTCCGCTCGGTATATTTCATGAAGGTAATCCTTTTACAATGATTTTATGCAATTAACCAGTTATATTGGTATTGTTTTGGTAACAATTTATATATTTCGTGTGACCATTTTACAACATATGCAGGACAGTTGCATTGTATTGGATTTGTTGCATGCGTTTAGGGCGGTTGGTATCAAACAATTCAAGTTTTCAACGTTCATGTCATTATGGTTGTACAAGTTTGGGACCAACTATATGTTCGTTATTTTGTATGCGGAAATTAAAACCATCGATGTTTAGTTTTTTTCACTTATTTCGGCTTATTTTGAACTTGCACCATACAAATGATTTTTGTTTTTGAATATGTTCTACTTCTTTCTTTTACTTATTAACAATTAATATCACTATTTGAGAACTTTTTTTATTATTCAATATTTGTTTTACAATGAATACCCCGTGCATCGCACGGGTGTATTACTAGTACGATTTAAAATTAAAGCACTACTACTTCAGTCCATCCATTCATGAAGCGCCAAAATAAGGCAAGATTACCAATTTGCAAGAAATGCCTTTCCTATATCAAGAAGGATTTGATGTTACTTAACTAATTACTAGAATCACAACTAATGGTTTATGGTGAGTTATCCAAATCAACCTACTCTGCAACCGTGCAGGCCATCTTCATGAATCTAATTATTTTCTTGAAGAATATGTATGATTTGGATAAATTCTAAATCAGTTTCTCTTCTGTTGCCCGAGATACGCCTTACATTGATCTAGTCGTTAGAGGTAAAACACGTACCAAAGCCAAAGCTTATAGCAGATTTCTTTGCAGATTATGATTTATTGTGCTTCCCTCTCTAATTTATATGTCATTGATGATGTATTCTCCATTTGATTTAATTCATAGATAACTCGTGTTTTTGCATTAGAGTTGATGTTTATGTTATTTCACTGCTTGTTTAGTACGTCATTTGAAACAACTTTTTAATTGTTGGATTTTTTTAACTAGGTACATAAGAATTTAATTGAAAGCATAATTTTGATTGTGCATCTAACTCTACATATAGAAACTTAACGATAACAACATTTAGGTGGTGTTTTCCAACGCTTTTCCAAAGTGATTATGAGTTTTTTTTTTGTTTAAAAATTGGCAAGTCTGAGAAAGGTTTTTGTGGATGAAAATTTTTGAGGACATAAATCGTTTTAGTGGTAAAGTTTCGGGACATAAACAGTCATTTTCCCGTATTTGTATCTATCTATATCATCCGCTGGCTAGTTATGGACATGAGTGATTAGTATTACATGAATTAACAATATTTTGAATTACTAATTAATTTATAACTTTAGGATAGTTATACTTCATTAGTTTCTTCAGCTTTATATATATACATGAATGTTAATTTTATTGTTTTTCGCCGTTATAACAAGAAGTTATATGTCAATATATGTATTGTTCTCACGACACGTGCACATGCCTAGTTTATAAAAAAATGTTCATGTGCTATTAACATAAACTTCTTCCATCATGTATTTCTGCTTTTACGCAGACAACTTCTAATGGTGGTCCCGTCTGCATTATGGGCTGAGTTAATGAAGATTAAGCTAGAATAATGTTAAAGACAAAAGCTAATGAAGTTATTTAATTTTAATGGGAAAAATGCCCTATATACTGTTGGGTACTTGTATGAATAACATAAACAAACACTAAAGAAAGACATAGTTAAAATTAGAGATTATAAGATACAAAATGTTTCACCAGATTGGTTCCATACATGTCTATATATGTTGTTAATTAAACGTAATAAAAATATTAAATTTAAATATTGTTTAAAGTAATATTAAAGAATATATTTTTAGGGAATTAGTTTTTTAAATTAATACTCGATAAATAAATAACCTCGTTTAAATAATATTTTTTTTTCTGGTCCGGCTCTAGAAAACTCTACTAAATTTATTAGTTTCATAATTTAATATTTCGCTAAATTAATAAAATTTTGTTAGTCCCGACTCTATTAATTTATAGAGGTTTAATTGTATTTCGTTTCTTATTTACTTTATATCCAGTATTTAAAACTATGATATTTTAATTCCATAAAACTGAATGGTTCATGTACAGATGTTGTTAATTAAACATAATAAAAAAAATAGAAGTTAAATATTTTTTTAAATTAATATTAAAGAAAAAATGTTTCTTTATTTCTTTTAGTATCTTGTAAAATATTTTTAATTGTTTTTCGGCTTTGAAATTCTATAATTGTCGAAAAATCCCTTTTAAGTACTTTTCAAGTTTTTATTATTTTAAAATTAGTAATTATAACATATTTATAATAAAATTTCAGTGGCACTTTTATAGAATAAATATATTATAATTTATATAGTTTAATTTATAGAATAAGTTTTAATTCAAAAGAAAACAAAACTATTTCATATAACTCCATATTGGTGCTAACCAGAGTAGGAAAATTAAAAAGATATTACTAAGTTATAAATAGTTAATTTTTTCTACTCATCATCTATAGTTTTATTTTAATGTATGAAAACTGATAGGAATATTTAAAACTAAACATCATCTATATTTTTGTTATAAACGTGTGCTTGTCAATAATTGTTCTGTAATAAAATAATCTATATTTTTTAATAAGTTCTTGTCAATAATTGAGGTTAATCGATTCAAATTAATTGAAATGAGTTATAATCTTTTTTTTTTTAAATAAACATCTTATTTTATTCTTTATTCAATTTTTTCATACTATTGACTTACATCAGTGAGTTTCTATTAAGTCATGCATTTGTTTTTATATTGAATTGATTCCATTCTCTATACTTTTTAATAGTGAAGATTATATTGAATATAGTAATTAATAATATATGTTTGGACGTATTGAACTGCGCTTATTTATATCTTTCAAACTTTAATATATTACATTTTAATATTTAATTAACATCATTTAATAATAATGAATATGAAAATTAATAACTCATTTAACATTTTTTATATCGATTAAATCATTTCACACTAAAAGATTATATTATATATACTTATTGCTAGATATTGAATACATAGTTGCTTTCTCCCAATTGTCGGTAATACCATTCTCTTGTAACAGCCCCAAGTTTGACCCTTAATTGAAGCATTTTTTGGCACAAAACTGATCAATTAAATATGGGTCCCTAGAACGGGTCCTTGGGCCAGGTCCAACGTGTTGACCAATCGAGGTCGGTCTGGGTCAACGTCAATGGGGCGGTCGTCGGGTCTGGGCCTGATCCGGTGCTCCCTTTAAAATTTGTAAAAGAAGATACTAAGGGTAATAAAGACATTTCAATAAACATTATTACATTTCTTTTTTAATATGAAATCTAAAATAATAAGGACAATTAGTGATTTAGGTGAATACAAAATGAAAATTAAAATATGTACTTGTTTTTGGACACATGGCGGCCATTCAGACCCTACCTGACCTCCGGTAGATTTTAGCGATTGGACGCTAGAGAGGCCCAGGTAAGGTAGAGACAATATTGTTCTTTGGAACTGGACTTTGCTAGAAAACCAAGTAATATTCAACATATTATTTTTGTAACTTGTGAAATTCCTTCCTAATTTAGGATTTTATGCATATTATAAAACCGAGAAGCATGCCAAAATGTTAGGGTCTATTTGAATGGAGGGATTTGACAAGGAATTTCAAATCCATACCTCTCATTTTTAGTTGTTTTTTGAGCTATTGTGGTGTATTTCAAATGACTCCAACTTGGGGTCATTTCAAATCACTTCCTCAAATCAAAACCCTCCATCCAAATGAACCGTGAATATATTTCAAAATGTATTAAACACCTTTACAATGTAATATATATGATATTGCGGCCTTGTTTGGTTGGGGATGTTAGCCACTATTAACTACATAATAAGACTTTGTTTGATGTTTGGAATCTCCAACAACTTGTTAGGTCGACTCGCAAATATTATGTTATTAGGCTTATTTTGCCTTTGAAGGAGTTTTTTTGTTGAATTTTTTGTTGGACGTCTCAGGGCCAGATAAAATAATTAAATTTTTATTAGATTATTTAATCTTATCTTACTAACTAATGAGGCCCGAAAAATATGAGGTAGGTACATCCTTGGACTTCAGAGAAATATGATTCCCTTAGGGATGTTAGATATGAATGGATATTAGTTTAGGGGGAAAAATTTACGTTTCTAATCACCACCGAGTATTCATTCATATGGAATGTGATTGCATATGACATGAAATATTTGAGCGAACTTTTGAATTTTAACCCCAAAGCCAAAATCCACTAGCAAGTAAATTATTGAGTAAGTAATCTGTCTCTTACGCAATGACTCACTTCGAACAACAAAACCAATGAAAATTGGACTTGTTTAGTAATGATGCTAGAATTAGATCACCTTAAGTAGTCGAAGTAGGATAAGCTCGTAGAGCAAAATGAATCACTGGGAATTTGATGACCTTGAGATACTTGTAATCAGAGATCACGTAACCTAAGCCGGAGGTTGATCCGGCGGAAACCCCTCTGACGTCAAGTCAGACGTGTGGATTAAAAAAGTCGTAGAGAGAATACGAACAGTTGTATTGTTCGAATATTGAATGTACGTTAACAAATGAGTTAAAATCTTTATTTATAGATCGTTCATTGGGCTGAAGTTAATTAGTTGAGA